TAAAAGAACTGGCGTAACACTATTTTGATCCAATTAGATTTCTAGTTATTGAACTAATGCATAACTTATTTTTAGAAATCGCCTATTGGATCATGAAAAAACTTTAGATTGATAATGGGAAAATAACAAAGGCTCATCTAGAACTAATGGAAAAGAGAGCTAAAAATATTAAGGTCTCATCTGATTTAGGAAGAATCCTTTTTAAGATATTAACAGAAGAAGGATTTTTTAACTTTATAGTAGACTAATAGAAATTGTTCATAATGATTTATGTAACTCTATTAATGTAAGATATATTAGATGAAATAGATCAAGAAATTTTAGCCAATTTTGTTAAATTGTGTTATCTTCTTATTTCACAAATTATTGACAAAGATAAATTAAATGAAGCACACAGTCAATATTAAGGATTGCTCACTTAGTTGAAGATAGCTATGGGTTAGTAGCAATAATACTAAATATCTATTTATCTTTGCACATTTCAGAGTACTGCCGGGATTATAGTTTTATATATTTATTCTAATGCTATTCATTTAAACGAATGAACGGAATATTAGGTAATTTATTAATTATCAAATAATATATTTAAAAGTCAATGTTAACTATTTTTATTTAAAAAATAAAAATAGGTTCACTTCTGAATTCTCACCATCAGATTGAACTAGAGATATTACGTATTATCATGCAAAACTAGAGGCTGGATGGTTTAATATCTTGTCAGAATGACACAAGGCTTATCAAAGGATTAAATTTGATAAAATCTCAACTAACAACAGGAAGTTTAGCATCATATGACAACTTTCAATATGATGAATTATATAGATTCATGTTAATTTATAATATTGAAGTTGAGGATACTATAACTGATAGTAAAAAGCTTTCTGATGAGATGATAACACTGAAGAAGCTTGAAGTAAATTTACCAGATGATGTATATAATCTTTTGGTAAATTACTATAATAACGCTTATAAACTAGAATTTGTTACTATAACTAAATCAATAGAAAGCAAAAATAATTCAATCATTGTTCAACTTCAAATAAATCAATTCAGGCGTATTCAAATAGGAGCTAAGATATTCAGATTGGCTAATACGCCTCAGTATTTAAAGAATTCGTATATTCTTACTAAATTTGTACAAGAAAATGGCTCAATAGAAATGTATTTAGGACAAATACAGTATTTTTTTGAACACGAGATCAATCTGAAAAAGAGGACAATACATTGACTGGCTTATGTAAATAGTTCATTTTAGCTAAAAACTATAAGACGAGATTTCATTTTTAGATAAAAGATGATATTAAAAGCTGTAATACAAAAATCTGATCAAAAAAATTTTATGATGTTGATAGAGACTGTATCATTTCAATATATAATATATTAGACTAATTTATATCAAGTAAATATGAAATTGGAAAAAAAAATTAATTATATGGCTGTTATTCCAATAGAAAGAAAATTTAACATTGTCACCGTGGATTTCTTCAACTCGAGGTGGTCATGTTATCAAGTCTCTACTTGAAATTTCTTAACTACAGCTTACTGCGGTTAAGATGTTAGGATCCGCTTAACTCTTAACTTTACCAAGTTTATGCGTTGAACTTAAATGAATCTATCAAATATGAAGACTTGAAAGACAATCATGATGAAGGTAAGCTTTAATTTTTATCAATAAATGTGTGTTATATTTATATTATATTTACATTTATTTATTCTAGGACAAGTTAATTTATTTTTACAAAACGAAGAGATTAAAAATATGTTTAAAGAATTTTTAATAAACCAAAAGAGATCAGAATTGACATTAAATCCATTCAATATAAAT